GGGACCCCGATCAGACACTATATCCTCGGGTACCCCGGAGTGCCGGAAGACGTGGGTAAACAAAGCCTCAGCAGTCTGTAGGGCAGTAGGGAGACCCGGCATTGGGATGAGACGACAGGCCTTTGAGAATCGATCCACAACGACCAGAAGAGTGGTATTCCCCTGGGAGGGGGGAAGGTCCGTAACAAAGTCTACCGATAGGTGAGACCACGGCCGTTGTGGAACGGGTAGGGGTTGTAACTTCCCCCTGGGCAGGTGTCTAGGCGCCTTACACTGAGCGCACACCGAGCAGGAGGAGACATAAACCCTCACGTCCTTAGCCAATGTTGGCTAAGGCACTGTCCGGCCAATACCAGGATGTCCAGAGGAGGGTGACGTATGAGCCCAATAAATGAGACGATCACGAATCTCGAACGGAACGTATGTCCGCCCCGCTGGAAACTCTGGAGGAGTAGGGTCAATACGTAACGCCCGCTCGATTTCCGCATCGACCTCCCACATCACCGGTGCCACCAGACAAGACTCCGGCAGTATGGGAGTGGGCTCAATGGACCTCTCCTCTGTGTCATATCGCCGGGACAGGTCGTCTGCCTAAACGTTCTGGGACCCTGGGATGTAAGTGAGCTTAAAAACAAACCGGGCCAGAAACATGGCCCACCTAGCCTGATGAGGGTTCAGTCTCCTAGCTGCCCGGATGTACTCCAGGTTATGATGGTCAGTCAGAATGAGAAAAGGGTGTTGAGCCCCCTCAAGCCAATGCCTCCACACCTTTAGGGCTTGAACCACGGCTAGCAGCTCCCTGTCCCCCACGTCACAATTACGTTCCGCCGGGCTGAGCTTCTTAGAGTAAAACGCGCAGGGCCGGAGTTTAGGAGGCGTGCCTGAGCGTTGAGACAGTACAGCCCCAATACCGGCCTCTGACGTGTCCACCTCCACCTGGAACGCTAAAGCGGGGTCCGGATGCGCCAGCACCGGAACCGAGGTGAACAGGTCCTTCAGTTGTCTAAACTCCCTGTCCGCCTCAGCCGACCACTGCAAATGCACCGGAACCCCCTTCAGCAGGGAGGTGATGGGAGCTGCTACCTGTCCAAAACGCCGGATAAACCTCCGGTAGTAATTGGCAAAACCCAAAAACCGCTGCACCTCCTTAACCGTGGTTGGAGTCTGCCAATTATGCACGGCTGAAACGCGGTCAATCTCCATCTCCACCCCTGACGCGGACAACCGATGGCCTAGGAAGGAGATGGACTCCTGGAAAAACAGACATTTCTCTGCCTTGACATACAAGTCATGCTCCAACAGCCTACCCAACACTCGACGCACCAGGGCTACATGCTCGGCTCGTGTAGAAGAGTAAACTGGAATGTCGTCAATATACACCACTACACCCTGCCCATGCAAATCCCGGAAGATCTCGTCCACAAAGGATTGGAAGACTGAAGGAGCATTCATTAACCCGTATGGCATGACGAGATACTCATAGTGACCCGAGGTGGTAATAAATGCCGTCTTCCATTCATCTCCCTCCCTAATGCGCACCAAGTTGTAGGCGCTCCTGAGATCCAGTTTTGTGAAGAAACGCGCTCCGTGTAATGATTCCGTCATACTCGCAATCAGAGGGAGAGGATAACTGTATTTAACAGTGATCTGGTTGAGACTACGGTAATCAATACACGGGCGCAACCCTCCATCCTTCTTCTTCACAAAAAAGAAACTCGAGGACGCAGGAGAAGTGGAGGGCCGTATGTATCCCTGTCTCAGAGACTCGGCTATGTATGTCTCCATAGCCGCCGTCTCCTCTTGAGACAGAGGATACACATGACTACGCGGAAGTGCAGCACCTGCCTGGAGGTCTATCGCACAATCCCCCTGTCTATGAGGTGGCAATCGCGTCGCCCTCGTCTTACTAAACACGAGTGCCAAATCATCATACTCAGGAGGAATGTGCAGTGCGGGCACTTGGTTCAGACTTTCCACCGTGGTCGCCCCTACGGAAACACCTAGACACCGCCCGACACACTGGTCAGACCACTCCTTGAGAGCCCTCTGTTGCCACGAAATGGTGGGGTCATGGGAGATTAACCAAGAAAGTCCCAGCACCACGGGATACGCAGGAGAGTCGATCAGATACAACTGAATGATCTCCTCATGACCCCCCTGCGTCTTCATCTTTAGTGGCGCTGTGACCTCCCTAATCAACCCAGATCCCAACAGACAGCTATCTAGGGCATGAATAGGAAAGGGCACATCTACTGGTAGGCGGGGAATCCCTAACTTAACACAAAAATTACGATCAATAAAATTCCCAGCTGCGCCTGAATCGACTAGCACCTTATGCTGGGAATGAGATGCAACCTGGGGGAATACTCCTTGTATACACAGGTGAACAACAGAGAGCTCTGGGTGAGTTGGGCGCCTACTCACCTGGAATGACTCCCCAGTGCGTGACCTGTTGCCTTGATCCCCTGGAGACCCTCCCCAGCACCGAACCGCAGTGTGTCCTCTACGGCCACAGTTGGTGCAGAGGACGGCCTCCCTCCGGATCTCTCTCCTCCTCTCTCTAGCGCCAGCACCCCCGAGCTCCATAGGGCTCGGCTCGGAGGTGATGGGGGATGGAATGGACGGCCCCAACTCCGGACGTCCGCGGGTAGCCAGCAGGGTATCCAGACGGATCGACATGTCCACCAACTGATCGAAGGTTAGATTGGTGTCCCTGCAGGCCAACTCTCGTCGAACGTCCTCTCGCAGGCTGCACCGATAGTGGTCAATGAGGGCCCTCTCATTCCACCCCGCATCCGCCGCTAGAGTCCGGAAGTCCAGGGCGAACTCTTGTGCGCTCCTCTTCCCCTGTCGGAGGTGGAACAGACGCTCCCCGGCGGAAACGCTCTCGTATCCCGAGGGCGCCGGGTGTATGGTTGCCAGGTAGATTTCCACTTGTAGTAGGAAACCCTGACACCTGGCTGCGGTGCCATCATATGCCCTCGGGAGCGAGAGCCGAATCCCACTGGACTCCGGAGATGGTACGATGGAGCTGGCCGATGGTGGTGGTAATGTAGGAGGAGGTGTGGGCAAGCCTCCTCTTTCCCATCGGCGCAGGGTGTCCATCACGTCTTGCATGGCGGAGCCGAGTCTATGGATCATGGCGTCCTGGCTGCTGACCCGATCCTCCAGTGACTCGGTCACCGCCGCTGCTCCTGCTGACTCCATGGGTGGTGTGTTATTCTGTCAAAATGCTGATGTGTATGCGGCGGTGAAGTCAGGCGCAGGACACAGAGGATAAGTAATGACGACTTTACTTACAAACTAAATACGCACAAAGCAAATGCCTCTAAACACAAGAGGAGAATAAATACGCGGAGTGCGCAATCAACAAGATGAGCAAATGCCGAAACATACATCAAAGACACGCGGACAATAACACACAAAGGCAAACATAAAACAAGGGAACTTATATGTGACATAATCAATACAGAATACTAAACAGGTGTACCAACTAGACATTACAAAACAAACATCGAAAACATCGAGCGGTAGTAGCTAGTACTCCGGGGACGATGAACGCCGAAGCCTGCCCGAGCAAGGAGGAGGAGCAGCCTCGGCGGCATCCATGACAATTGGAGTCAACCTTTGGTAAATTAAATTGATTGGACATGATTTGGAAAGGCACACACCTGTCTATTTAAGGTCCCACAGTTGACAGTGCATCTAAGAGCAAAAACCAAGCCATGAGGTCGAAGGAATTGTCCGTAGAGCTCCGAGACACGATTGTGTCGAGGCACAGATCTGGGGAAGGGTACCAAAACATTTCTGCAGCATTGAAGGTCCCCAAGAACACAGTGGCCTCCATCATTCTTAAATTGAAGAAGTTTGGAACCACCAAGACTCTTCCTAGAGCTGGCCGCCCGGCCAAACTGAGCAATCAGGGGAGAAGGGCCTTGGTCAGGGAGGTGACCATGGCCTCTCAGACCATGAGAAACAAGATTCTCTGGTCTGATGAAACCAAGATTGAACTCTTTGGCCTGAATGCCAAGCACCACATCTGGAGGAAACCTGGCACCATCCCTACGGTGAAGCATGGTGGTGGCAGCATCATGCTGTGGGGATGTTTTTCAGCGGCAGGGACTGGGAGACTAGTCAGGATAGAGGCAAAGATGAACGGAGCAAAGTACAAAGAGATCCTTGATGAAACAGGACCTCAGACTGGGGCGAAGGTTCACCTTCCAACAGGATAACGTCCCTAAGCACACAGCCAAGACAACGCAGGAGTGGCTTTGGGACAAGTCTCTGAATGTCCTTGAGTGGCCCAGCCAGAGCCCAGACTTGAACCTGGTCGAACATTGCTGGAGAGACCTGAAAATAGCTGAGCAGCGACGCTCTCCATCCAACCTGACAGAGCTTGAGAGGATCTGCAGAGAAGAATGGGAGAAACTCGCCAAATACAAATGTGCTAAGCTTGTAGCATCATAACTAAGAAGACTCAATGCTGTAATTGCTGCCAAAGGTGATTCAACAAAGTACTGAGTAAAGGGTCTGAATACTTATGTAAATGTGATATTTCCATTTTTTTTATTTTATAAATTAGCTAAAATTTATAAAAATCTGTTTTTGCTTTGTCATTATGGGGTATTGATGAGGGGGAAAAAACGATTTTATCATTTTTAGAATAAGGCTGTAACATAACAAAATGTGGAAAAAGTCAACGTGTCTGAATACTTTCCGAAGGCACTGTATGTAACAGATTTTGCTCTGGGAGTGAAAATCCTCATAAAGTTACTCATAGGCCTCTAGACCCTCTTTACTACTGTAGCAATATGTTTTATTACATTACATACTTTCTTTACATAAAGGTGTCAAATGTGAAACTAGACGTGGTGCCACGTGTGGAACAAGAAGTTATCCTAAATATTTAAATCAGACTTTTGAGCTTTCTGTAGTTCATTGATCTGATCATGTTATTGACTACTTACAGTAAGCTGGGAACAATATTTTTCATACACTACATGTATCTACAGTCTGTCAGCATACTGATGAAACCATAAACAATTGATATACAATGGTTTTCAAACTCTCTCTCTTCTCTCTCTATCCTCTCTCTCCTCTAGTTCTTTGTGCTGTGCCATGGCATGCTCCAGCTGGCCCAGCTGTTGGTGTCTGGATATCTGAAGAGCTCCATCTCCACCATAGAGAGACGCTATGGCTTCTCCAGCCAGAAGTCTGGCATCTTGGCATCGTTCAATGAGGTAAGCCTACACCTAACCCTGACCCTAATCCACCACTCTACTGGGCTGGTCAAGATAACTGGAAGATAGACTGATAAATTCCAGATCCATGCAGGTTCAGATTATTATTTTTATTCATAAAGGGTCTACCAAGTGACAATGTATGAAAAAATGGTGTACTTTATATGTTTACATGTGAGAGGGTGCACATGAGTGTGTTAATGGTTGTGTTTGTGTGAGTGTGTTGTGTTGTGTTCATGATTCTGTATGTGTGTGTTTATGTGTTTGTGTAGGTGGGGAACACAGTCCTGATAGTGTTTGTTAGTTTCTTTGGTAGCCGTATCCACAGACCACGGTTCATTGGTGGAGGGGCACTGGTGGCCAGTCTGGCTGCTCTGATGATGTCTCTGCCTCATTTCATCAGTGGCCCATACAAGTACACAGACCATATCAGCAGTAAGTCACATACACACACACACATACAGTACATAAAGTTGAAGTCGGAAGTTTACATACACCTTAGCCAAACACATTTAAACTCAGTTATTCACAATTCCTGACATTTAATCCTAGTAAAAATTCCCTGTCCTAGGTCAGTCAGGATCACCACTTTATTTGAAGAATGTGAAATGTCAGAATAATAGCAGAGAGAATTGTTCATCTCAGCTTTTATTTATTTCATCACATTCCCAGTGGGTCAGAAGTTTACATACACTCAATTAGTATTTGGTAGCATTGCCTTTAAATTGTTTAACTTGGGTCAAAACGTTTTGGGTAGCCTTCCACAAGCTTCCCACAGTAAGTTGGGTGAATTTTGGCCCATTCCTCCTGACAGAACTGGTGTAACTGAATCAGGTTTGTAGGCCTCCTTGCTCGCACACGTTTTTTCAGTTCTTCCCACATATTTTCTATAGGATTGAGGTCAGGGCTTTGTGATGGCCACTCCAATACCTTGACTTTGTTGTCCTTAAGCCATTTTGTCACAACTTTGGAAGTATGCTTGGGGTCGTTGTCCATTTGGAAGACCCATTTGCGACCAAGCTTTAACTTCCTGACTGATGTCTTGAGATGTTGCTTCAATATATCCACATCATTTTCCTTCCTCATGATGCCATCTATTTTGTGAAGTGCACCAGTCCCTCCTGCAGCAAAGCACCTCCACAGCATGATGCTGCCACCCCCGTGCTTCACGGTTGGGATGGTGTTCTTTGGCTTGCAAGGCACCCCCTTTTTCCTCCAAACATAACGATAGTCATTATGGCCAAACAGTTCTATTTTTGTTTCATCAGACCAGAGGACATTTCTCCAAAAAGTACGATCTTTGTCCCCATGTGCAGTTGCAAACCGTAGTCTGGCTTTTGTATGGCGGTTTTGGAGCAGTGGCTTCTTCCTTGCTGAGCGGCCTTTCAGGTTATGTCGATATAGGACTAATTTTACTGTGGATATAGATACTTTTGTACCTGTTTCTTCCAGCATCTTCACAAGGTCCTTTGCTGTTGTTCTGGGATTGATTTGCACTTTTCGCACCAAAGTACGTTAATCTCTAGGAGACAGAATGCGTCTCCTTCCTGAGCGGTATGACAGCTGCGTGGTCCCATGGTGTTTGTACTTGTGTACTATTGTTTGTACAGATGAATGTGGTACCTTCAGGCGTTTGGAAATTGCTCCCAAGAATGAACCAGACTTGTGGAGGTCTACCATTTATTTTCTGAGGTCTTGGCTGATTTCTTTTGATTTTCCCATGATGTCAAGCAAAGAGGCACTGAGTTTGAAGGTAGGCCTTGAAATACATCCACAGGTACACCTCCAATTCACTCAAATGATGTCAATTAGCCTATTAGAAGCTTCTAAAGCATGACATCATTTTCTGGAATTTTCCAAGCTGTTTAAAGGCACAGTCAACTTAGTGTATGTAAACTTCTGACCCACTGGAATTGTGATACAGTGAATTATAAGTGAAATAATCTGTCTGTAAACAATAATTGGAAATATTACTTGTGTCATGCACAAAGTAGATGTCCTAACCGACTTGCCAAAACTAAAGTCTGTTTACAAGAAATTTGTGGAGTGGTTGAAAAACGAGTTTTAATGACTCCAACCTAAGTGTATGTAAACTTCCGACTTCAACTGTACATATGTTTGTTTGAATCTCAAAACAAAATTAGTAGGTATCACCTAACTCTTAGCTCCTTCCTACCTCTACCTGTGTTCCATAGAATCCAAGGATGACAACTCTGGCCTCTGCCAATTAGAGAGCTCTTTCCAAACACCCTTGTCCAATCACAGCTGCACGCAGCAGGAGAGTCACTCCCAGCAGGGAGTATTCCCACTCCTGCTCCTAGGACAGCTACTCCTGGGAATCGGCGGCGTTCCCATCCAACCCTTCGGAATCTCCTACATTGATGACTACGCCAGCAAGAGGAACTCTCCCCTCTACCTCGGTACGAGCACTGGGAGTGACTGGGAAACACAGGGAATTCTTGGAATACTGGGAATACACATTCTGATGCAAGTCTTTTGGCCCAAAACGTCAATGTTTGTAAATAGAAATCAATAGTATTGCTGTTGTTTTTTTTAAATGGAGAGTTGCACCAATCTTCTCTAACATTCCTGCAACTTTTGGCTTCCAATTCTGAGAATACTTGCATGGACATTAGAATGAGTGTTAGATTAGGAATTTCACACATAACCCTGGTGCAGGAGGTGGGAAAGTAGTAATGAAACTAAAGTGAATGTATTATATCCACTCGTTGTTTTGCTGCTCTCAAGGCTGTGTCATGTGTCTTTATGATAAAATGATACTTGACATCAGTAAACAATGGGAAGACTTTCATTTTCTTTTCATCAACTTCGAAGTATGATCTGGGGAGAAAGCAAACGATAAGCATTATTTTTCATGTCACTGTATTGGTCCCACAACAGGGGTGATATGTCTGACTGTGGTTCCTCCTGCAGGTATCCTCCTGGCTGTCACGTCTATCGGTCCTGCTTTTGGCTTTTTGATGGGCTCCTACATGTTGCGCTTTTATGTCGACATCGACAAGATGTCCAAAGGTGAGCACACACACAAAATGCATCATACTGTGACACTTTCTGTAAGTTCTACAGTGCCTTCAGAAAGTATTCACACCCCTTGACTTTTTCCACATGTTGTTGTGTTATAGCTTGAATTTAAAATTGATTACATTGAGATTTTGTGTCACTGGCATACACACAATATCCCATAATGTCAAAGTGAAATTCTGTTTTTATTAATTAATTAAAATTGAAACGCTGAAATGTCTTGAGTCAATAAGTATTCAGCCCCTTTGATTTGGCAAGCCTAAATAAGTTCAGGAGTAAAAATGTGCTTAACAAGTCACATACTACGTTGCATGGACTCACTCTGTGTGCAAAAATTGTGCTTTTTAACATGATTTTTGAATGACTTCCTCATCTCTGTACCCCAAACATACAATTAGCTGTAAGGTCCCTCAGTCGAGCAGAGAATTTCGAACACAGATTCAACCACAAAGACCAGGGAGGTTTACCAAGGCCTCGCAAAGAAGGGCACCTTTTGGTAGATGGGTAAAAATAATGTTCGCTTTTGTTGTCAGAATGTTTAAAGAACATTCAATTTTACAGGTCAGAAAACGTAGGGCTTCGTTCCTCGAACCAATCTGAAACCAAAAAACACATGTTCCCATAACTTCCAAGGAACCAAATGTGCTAGGTCTCTTACTCATTCCCTCACTGATTCACTCATTGATTCTCTCTCTCTCTCTCTCTCTCTCTCTCTCTCTCTCTCTCTCTCTCTCTCTCTCTCTCTCTCTCTCTCTCTCTCTCTCTCTCTCTCTCTCCTCTTTATCTCTCTCTCTCTCTCTCTCTCTCTCACACTCACACTCACACTCACACTCACACTCACACACACACACACACACACACACACACAGACACACACTCCCAGGTATTCCTCAGATGTTCACAGCATGTCAGGAGCTGATATAGGTTAGGATTGAACCGGGATGTGGACATGAAGTTGGGGTTAGAATACAATATTGGGTGGGTTATGTACTAAAGGTTGGTGTTAAGGTGTGCTACAGGTCAACTTCAAGGTGCATGTAATGAGGTCCTCCTCTTATAGTTTCCTTTACAAGCCTGAATAAAACTCTGAATGATTGTGTTTTAATAAACAGGGTTTAGTGGAGACTAGCTGGAATAATGTTGATGATAACGGCGATCTTATCTTTACTCCACTCCTGTGAATTCTAACAGGCAAACATTTACAGTGCATTCGGAAAGTATTCAGACCCCTTTACTTTTTCCACATTTTGTTGCATTGCAGCCTTATTCTAAAATGTATTAAATTGTTGTTGTTTTCTCATCAATCTACACACAATACCCCATAATGACAAAGCAAAATCTGGTTTTTATACATTTTTGCAAAAGAATAAAAAATTAAACTGAAATATCACATTTACACAAGTATTCAGATCCTTTACTCAGTACTTTATTGAAACACCTTTGGCAGCAATTACAGCCTCAAGTCTTCTTGGGTACGACGCTACAAGATTGGCACACCTGTATTTGGGGAGTTTCTCCCATTTTTCTCTGCAGATCCTCTCAAGCTCTGTCAGCTTGGATGGGGAGCGTCGCACAGCTATTTTTAGGTCTCTCCAGAGATGTTCGATCGGGTTCAAGTCCGGGCTCTGGCTGGGCCACTCAAGGACATTCAGAGACTTGTCCCGAAGCCACTCCTGCGTTGTCTTGGCTGTGTGCTTAGGGTCGTTGTCCTGTTCGAAGGTGAACCGTCGCCCCAGTCTGAGGACCTGAGCGCTCTGGAGCAGGTTTTCATCAAGGACTTTTCCAATCGACCTCATTCTGTGTGAACCACAGCCACCAGGACAGACATGATCTATCCCTGCAATGCTTCAGACACCTCAGAAACAGGACTTACCCCAGTCATGGACCAGTTTCCGGTCTTTCCAGTTTCATGTAATTGGTCTCAACTTTCCAGTTTGATGCACCTCATTTATCATGGTGTGAGAGCGTTGTTAATGATTGGGGACATGTTCAAACTGTTCAAACGCCTACTGAAGTACATGTGTGTGTATGGCGTGTGTGTGGATACGTGGGTGCATATCTATAGTTATTTACTTCTGTAGAAAAGTGCATGATATCAGACACATTTCTGTGAAATAAATGAGCTTATTCCCTTTTTGGAGGAAAATTGGTTCTTAACTGGAATTCCGGTGTCTCTGAACAGCTGGTATGACCTCATTCACTCCGTCTTTCACTTTAGTCATTCAGAATGAATGTGGAGTTTCTCACAGTGAAAGAGAAAAGGACTTCTTCCTGGAAACTGCTGTCAGTTAGACAGGGATTCAATGTTCTGTTGAACAATGCCAAGGACAGAAATGTACTTTCTTTCCTAATATCAAAAATTGCTCAAAAGGTAATAGCATTTAAAACCAGGAACTGTTCTCAGGGTGCACTTCAATACATACAGTACCTTTGATTCAAATGGATATTGAATTGAATAGTTGATTGAATATTGTAATTTTATTATTTATGAATACTGTACTTTGCCACTAATTCAGTAACATGTCTTTCTCCTGTCTGCAGATCAGATAGGTCTGGAGCGAAGGGACCCTCGCTGGGTGGGAGCCTGGTGGCTAGGCTTCTTGGTGGCAGCCTCCTTCCTCTTCCTCACCTCCCTGCCCTACCTCTTCTTCCCCCGGCAGATGCCCAAAGAGGTGTAGTATGGGATACCAGCTGACAAGTTGTCACAGTCATGATATATATTTATGATTGATTGACTTTACTCCTTTATTAAGCATTAACTAAGAAAATGTAATGAAAGTTGCACAATCTTCTCTTATAGAAAAAATGTGGTTCAGAGAAAGAGTGATGTGGTTTGACCTTGTTGAATAAGGTCCTGGCTGATATCTATCATGATAATGGAATGTTTAAAAAGAGGTTGAGACTTTGGTTCATGTTTCTCTCATCAGTCATCTGGCACAAAGAAGAATCATTGTGCCAGGTCTTGCTCAATAGTGAAGGATATTACATTAACATCCCAAAGCATAGACGTACACACACACACACACACACACACACACACACACACACACACACACACACAGTCTCTTGATCGCTGGCCAAGGCTTTAAAAGCTCTAAAGCTTGGCGTGTAACTTGAGTGCATTTCGCAATCAGAGATCTTGTCGGCAAAACTCTCTCTTTCCCACATCATGTTCACCAGACCTGACAAAGGCTATTAGAGAGTAAATGCAATAATGACAGGATTACATGTTTACTTTGCCATAGTCAAACTCTAATCTGCTGTAATACAGGTAAAGTGCATAATTGCGGTATGGTTCTTTCTCTCCCCTGGTTAGGAAACTGGAGGCGATGCCACAGAGCCCAGAGCCCAGGAAGAAAAGAAACCACTGCCAGACCCCGTCCAGGAACTCACCCTCCCACAGTTCCTCAAAAGTGAGACTCTTTTATAAAACCACATCCGTCTTTTTTCTTTCCATTTCCTTTCACTGTGTCTGTGGGTGACTACAGGGCATTATGGGTGACAGTCACTGATGTAAACATACTGATAGTATATGAAAAGTAGAAGTGGTCACATTGTGGCCTCTCTCTTCCTCTATTGTTGCAACCCCCGTGGTAAATATTGTCTTAAGCAGTGAGGTCATTAGCCAGCAATTTGAGAGGAACTGTGGGAGGGTGAGTTCTTGGACGGGGTCTGGCAGTGGTTTCTTTTCTTCCTCGGCTCTGGGCTCTGTGGCATCGCCTCCAGTTTCCTAACCAGGGGAGAGAAAGAACCATACTGCAATTATGCAATTATCCCCTCCCTCCACCCTCTCCCTCCTCACCCCCCACCCCCTCCCCCCTCTCTCTCCCAGGTTTACCCCGTATCGCCCTGCGGACCCTGCGGAACCCCATCTACCTGTTGGTGGTGCTGGCGCAGGTCCACCTGGCAGCGATGGTAGCCGGCCTCGCCACCTTCATGGCCAAATTCATAGAGCGCCAGTTCACCCAGACCACCTCCTTCTCCAACATGATGATCGGTGAGAGACACCATTCGTTATCTCTGTGGAACAACTTGATTTAGATTAAGGTTAGGATTAGGGTTTGTCTAATAAATACAAAATAGAACCAATGGACCAAATAAATATTCCACTCAATGGAGAGTGATTACTTTAAAATCAAATCTGCAAACCTCAAGTATTTGACATGTGTATTTGACTCAGGTCTGATGGGAATAAGAAATATGGGGAATATCACATCATATACACACTTAATACTAGCTGAGATTAATAATAGAGTATGCTCCAACTCTCCAGGGGTCTATGAATAGGACAGAGAGCATGGAACACTACCACAGATACACTGCTATTGACCAATTGGAGGTAATCATTCCAGAAGACAAAGACTCCATTGTATGTGCAGAGCACAGGCAATCAAACCCCTGCCGCCCACTACTGTTTATAGCAGGGTCAAATCTGGATGGGATTTAATTTCCCTTTACCCCAGTGTTTTAGTTTGTTGTTTGGCAGGGTGCAGAATTTCCAGCGTCAGCACGTGAAGCTGCCAATATCAACATTTTCCATGACTACCAAATAAGGCCAACCATTGTTAGGAGGGGGTTAACAGAGCTAGGCAGAGGGGAAACACTGGTTGCGTTACAGGTTATTTTTCAAAATCAGGCTGCACAAATCTCATGTCTCCGGAACCATGTTATCTTCTGAGATCTTCTATCTTCTGAGATGTGCAGGGCGACTGCAAAAAACACGACCTGGAACGTGTCCACTGCTTTAATCTGAGTGACTGTTATGCCTTAACCTCTGTGTGCCTGTAGGTGGGGTGAGTATCCCTCTAGCGGTGCTGGGCATCGTGCTGGGTGGGGCTCTGATGAGGAGGCTGAGTGTGTCTACCAGAGGCTCCGCCCTCATGTGCACGGCAGCCATCTTGATGTGTATGCTCACCGCTCTGCCTCTCCTCCTCCTCGGCTGCTCCACACAGAGGGTCACTGGCATCTACCCCACCAAGTAGGTTACCATTTTAAAAGGTTACCATCACCTCTCCTAAAAACAGCACTGAAGCTTTAAGTTGCCATTTTGTACTCCACCAGGTACCATTTCTCTTTCTTCTTCCTCTGTTCTCAGACAGAACGGTTCATTGGGGTGTAGCTCTGGGTGCTCCTGTCCGACCGAGACCTTTAACCCAGTGTGTGGCTCAGACGGGGTGGAGTTCATATCACCCTGTCATGCAGGCTGCACGACCAAATTACAGGACAACAACACCATCAAAGTCCTGGTAAACTACTACACCTGCCTATTCATAAATGGGCCGAATCCTAACTTGCCCAGGCCAACCATTTGAGGTTAAAAAGATTGCAGAGAGAAAACTGAAGCACATAACAGAGTGGGTGAAGAAACCCAAGATGATGAATTTCCAGGAAGTAGACATGGCAGACAGACACAGCTCAAAAGGGGCCTCACTTCTGCTTTACTGTCACTCACAGCCAGATGTCTGCTGAATGGAAAACAGGGTTTACAGCCAGACTCAGTATTATTTAGACTGAACACACACACACTCCACCACCATACAAAGCCCGGGAGAAGAATATTCCCTTGGCTTGAAGCCAGAGAGACTGTTTCTTGATAATGCAATTTCATTTTGTGAGATGAGTGATTCTCGTTCACACCTACTATGCCAACAGTTACTGCCAGATGCAATGGTGATTGGCTGGTGGTTAACGTCATGTGACTCTTTCTCTGACAGAACTACACAGACTGTGGCTGCATCAAGTTCAACGGGTCCCATGGTTATGCGTTGCCGGGGACATGCGGTAGCGGCTGTAAACACCTCCTCTTGCCCTTCATGGTTCTCTCTGCCCTCACCTGCTTCATCGCATCCTTCTCACAGACGCCATCATACATGATGATACTGAGGTACAGCACACAAACACACAGACATGCACCCATACACACATGAACACACACACTAATCACCTACCTACCTACAGAGAGTGTGAGAGAGTGAGAGAGTGAGAGAGAGAGAGAGAGAGAGAGAGAGAGAGAGAGAGAGAGAGAGAGAGAGAGAGAGAGAGAGAGAGAGAGAGAGAGAGAGAGAGAGAGAGAGAGAGAGAGAGAGAGAGAGAGAGAGAGAGAGAGTCATGTGCAGTCGTCTCCCCACGGTAAAGCCAGAGGTATCTGAGTTCTCTCACGTTCTCGCTTATTAGTTATTGCAGGGACACAGACACAAGTTCCATTGCTGCTACTGTTTCATAACATCATCATCCGTCACGGTGGCTCGGTTGGTTCTAACACATTCCTCCTTCGTTTCAGCATGTTTGAGCCTACCCAAACCAGATACACATCAGCACTGTGTGTGTCTGTTGGTTGGTCTATGATCAGCATGACTGGGCCTGTGGGGATGATAGCAAACATAACAAGGGAATAAAGAACTGAGCTTTCCTCTTCCTCACTGAGTAACACTTAGACAGTCCGCTAAACATTACCTATAGATGTTTAACTCTTCACACACTGTCACTTTCATTTATCAGACAGCAACTGCACATGTAACAACAAATATTTCAAGATAAAGTGGATGGGGGTAGTTTTTGCATATTGATATTTGAGCAATGCAAAGTGTATGTGTGTGTGTGTGTGTGTGTGTGTGTGTGTATGATGTGTGTATAATACGTCTGGCATAGTTTACTGCATCCATTCAGCTGTTCTGTTTCACTCTGACCTAAACGCAGACTCCATCTTGCTGGTCAGTAACTTCTTCACGCCAGAACTGGCTCTGTTACTGTGACTGATGTTGACCCCTCTCCCATCCTCTCCCATCTTCTCCCTCTTCATCCCCTTTACCCACTCTTTCACTTCTTCCTTCTCTCACTCTCGCTCTCTCCCTCTTTCTCCCCTGCAGGACAGTGAGACCAGAGGATAAGTCTTTTGCTGTGGGAGTTCAGTACATGCTCTTCAGAGTGCTGGGTGAGTTATATCAACATTCCACAGACAGCCACACTCTCACATATTTGGCCGGGATTCCAAGAAATGTAGATAAACGACATATACACAGTGATTCACTGTTACAGTGATGGACCTTTCTGCTCGACATCCACGGTTTGAACAGCAAACGTCTTGGAAAAAATGCCTTTTTAAAAATCCATCCCCAAAATTCCTCTCTGGCTGTCCTGTTAGGTGACATGAAGCAGGACCATGTAAACTCTGAAAACACATCTCTACAGGGATAATAACACATATCAACACTGCCACTCAAGAATAATAATCTCACAGCCTCTCAGCCAATTGTGTATGTGTGTGTGTGCACATGCATGTCTGTGTGTGCGTGTGTTCACATGGATGTGTGTTTATAATTGGTGTATGTGTGTGTCTACAGCATTCCTGCCAGCCCCAGTCCTGTACGGCGTTGCCATAGACACCACCTGTATCCTCTGGGGGAAGAAGTGTGGGAGAAACACATCGTGTCACTACTACAACATGGACCTCTTCAGACAGAGGCAAGCACCAGCAGATATACCCTCCACCCGCACAATGACTCACACCTCCATGTCAGCCATATCAGCCATACTTAGAGTTTGCACTTTTGGGACCATTCCATTGCACTTTAGGGACCATTTTACCAGGCAAACTAAATCAAGCGCAGCTCAAGTATTTGAAAGTATTTACCATACAGTATGTATTAGACCCAGGTCTGTTATAGAATATACAGAATATCTTGGATATATTATATTTATAGTTTCCTTTTATGTCCAGGTTCCTGGGACTGCAGGTGTTGTTTGTCTGCGGAGCGTTTGTCTGCTTCCTGCTCTCTCTCCTCGTCCTGAGACATAGGGCAGGACAACAAGGCCAGCAGGCGGGACAGAGATACACTGTGGTGAACGGAGTAAAGAGTCCAGACAACAACACCGCCTCCAAAGAACTGCAGAGCATGGCAGCATGAGAGAGGCCTGAGAGAGAAAGATAATTGAACTGAATTGCGAGCCGGTAGCCAGAGAAGAAGAATGTATCGATCTAATTCTCTAAAGAGTCATGATGAAGACTACAGAGATGAGAAGCGCTCCGTGGGCATCTTTCTCAGGGAGAGTCCATCTCTTACTTTGTGTCCTCCATTTTGTCCATGGGAGGAACTGTTTCTCTCTCTCTCCTCCTGTTGGCCAATGAGGAGTGTTTAAATATCTCTACACTATTACTGCTCCCAAACTGCCAGTGCTGTATCTGAGCCATGGTAACATAGCGTGTCATTTTCTGAGACCAGTCTGAGTGGTCCCCTTTCCACTGATACAGGGACAGATCTTTTTCCATCTCTCTTATGGTTAAGGTTAGGACATGGCGCAGGGTAAGATGCTATAAGCTGATCCTAGATCTCAATATGTTTTTTTTAGTATCATTTTATTGTCACATACACCGAATAGGTGCAGTGAAATGTTTTGTTTTACAGGGTCAGCCATAGTAGTATGGCGTCCCTGGAGCAAATTAGGCTGCCTTGCTCAAGGGCACATTGACAGAATTTTCACCTTGTCGGCTCGGGTATTCGAGCCACCAGATCTAAATTACTGTAGACCAAAGCTATCAGACCAAAGACAGCATTAGAAAACCAAACTCCCACTAAGCCAATACTCTTCAGGTGTTGGTTGTTTTTAGAAAAAATGTATATACCATATATTTTTCTTTGTTTTTGTAATGCTTTTTTGTCCTTTGTAAACAATATAAAATGGTGAATTTATACTTTTAAAGAAAAGGATCATTATAGATTGAGTAAGCAAGCACCTTACATTTATACAACTCCAATAAGATATAATGCTTCTAATCTTATCATGTGAAATATAATGTAACTATTACAATTCTTGTAAGTGGGATTTTTATTTGATGGACATTTTTGCACAAGGCATCTGTTTCTCCATTGCTCTCGTCATGTAATGAGTTATGGTAGGCAAGCATAGATGCGGTAAAGGAGTCAACGTAACGCAGATGTTTCATCGACCAGATCTGATCTAACAAAGTGGATATTTGTCAAATCTGTCATGATTTATGTATTGTAACAGACCCAATGTGGGTACTTACAGTGCCTTGCGAAAGTATTCACCCCCCTTGGCATTTGTCCTATTTTTTGCCTTACAACCTGGAATTAAAATGAATTTTTGGGGGGTTTGTATCATTTGATTTACACAACATGCCTACCACTTTGAAGATGCAAATTTTTCTTTCTTGTGAAACAAACAAGAAATAAGACAAAAAAACAGAACCCCCCTTCCAAGGCAATACTTTGTAGAGCCACCTTTTGCAGCAATTACAGCTGCAAGTCTCTTGGGGTATGTCTCTATAAGCTTCGCACATCTAGCCACTGGGATTTTTGCCCATTCTTCAAGGCAAAACTGCTCCAGCTCCTTCAAGTTGGATGTGTTCCGCTGGTGTACAGAAATCTTTAAGTCATACCACAGATTCTCAATTGGATTGAGGTCTGGGCTTTGACTAGGCCATTCCAAGACATTTACTGTAAATGTTTCCGCTTAAACCACTCGAGCGTTGCTTTAGCAGTATGCTTAGGGTCATTGTCCTGCTGGAAGGTGAATCTCCGTCCCAGTCTCAAATCTCTGGAAGACTGAAACAGGTTTCCCTCAAGAATTTCCCTGTATTTAGCGCCATCCATCATTCCTTCAATTCTGACCAGTTTCCCAGTCCCTGCCGATGAAAAACATCCCCACATTATGATGCTGCCACCACCATGCTTCACTGTGGGGATGGTGTTCTCGGGGTGAAGAGAGGTGTTGGGTTTGCGCCAGACATAGCGTTTTCCTTGATGGCCAAAAAGCTCAATTTTAGTCTCATCTGACCAGAGTACTTTCTTCCATATGTTTGGGGAGTCTCCCACATGGCTTTTGGCGAACACCAAATGTGTTTGCTTATTTTTTTCTTGAAGCAATGGCTTTTTCTGGCCACTCTTCCGCAAAGCCCAGCTCTGTGGAGTGTACAGCTTAAAGTGGTCCTATGGACAGATACTCCAATCTCCACTGTGGAGCTTTGCAGCTCCTTCAGGGTTATCTTTGGTCTCTTTGTTGCCTCTCTGATTAATGCCCTCCTTGCCTGGTCCGTGAGTTTTGGTGGACGGCCCACTCTTGGCAGGTTTGTTGTGGTGCCATATTCTTTCCATTTTTTAAGAATGTTGCTCCGTGGGATGTTAAAGGTTTCTGATATTTTTTTATAACCCAACCCTGATCTGTACTTCTCCACAACTTTGTCCCTGACCTGTTTGGAGAGCTCCTTGGTCTTCATGGTGCCGCTTGTGTCACGATCATTGAGAGACGTGTCAGACCAAGGTGCAGCGTGGTATGCAAACATGTTTATTTAACTCAATAAACATAGACAAAACAAGAAACAACGTAACGTGAAGTCCTCAGGCTAAACACATACAAGCCTAACACGGAACAAGATCCCACAACTAAGGTAGGCAACCAGGCTACTCAAGTATGATCCCCAATCAGAGACAACGAGCGACAGCTGTCTCTGATTGGGAATCACACCCGGCCAAACATAGAAACACCACATCTAGATCCTAAACATAGAAATACTCACATAGATCCTCACACCCTGACCAAACCAACTAAAGACAACAGGCTTCTCAAGGCCAGGGCGTGACAGCTTGCTTGGTGGTGCCCCTTGCTTAGTGGTGTTGCAGACTCTGGGGCCTTTCCGAACAGGTGTACATATACTGAGATCATGTGACACTTAGATTGCACACAGGTGGACTTTATTTATTTAACTAATTATGTGACTCCTGAAGGTAATTGTTTGCACCAGATCTTATTTAGGGGCTTCATAGCAAAGGGGGTGAATGCATATGCATGTACCACTTTTCTGTTATTTATTTTGTATATTTTTGAATTTTTTTCACTTCACCAATTTGGACAATTTTGTGTATGTCCATTACATGAAATCCAAATAAAATCAATTTAAATTACAGGTTGTAATGCAACAAAATAGGAAAAACGGCAAGGGGGATGAATACTTTTGCAAGGCACTGTAAGTGCAATTTGGATATATTTGGCTGTTTTCATTGCAAACCTTTTCAGGTTTAGAAGAAGTGACTGCTAAATGCTAACTCCTATTCGTATAAGCTGGTTAGCATACAGAAATTGTTGATGGTAGCCTAAGTCATTTTTAACTGTAATGCATTTGATTGGTAACGATGAAGATATGAACATGTATTGGGGGTTGACATCCATACAAGCATTATACTCCGATTCTTACCTCAACATAATGTGAAATACACATATAAACAATAGCCTAAATGTAGGATAACTTTAGGGGGCAATGAGGAGACAGGATCTTTCCCCCACGCGTTCCCATGGCAATTCCATTGTTTTGGTCGAGGTCGATTGACCTCTTTATCCCGCCTATTGTGAGTTTAAAGGTCCTTTCCAAACAGGGAAGAAATCATGCATGTAATAAACTAATGTGAACCCGTGTGACATGGAAGCAAGCATTGTTCTCTCAGAGAGGAGGGAGTTAAAGGTGGAGGGAGGATATTGTGATAACTGAGCCAAGAATTTCTAACTGCTATCCTGAGTGATGACACACCAGGTTAATAAACTCTATCAACATACAGACATGTTCAGGCCTCATACTTTGTGTAAAGGAGTCATGCAACCGTCTCTTGCTGATGTACTGTGTGGAGTTGCTCAACTGGGACCTGCCCAGACCTACCTAACAGAAGATTTTGTAATATGCAACTTAATCTCACAATATCTGACTTAACATCGGAGAATTCTGCCATGTCCTGCAGAGGCAAGGAACAATGAGGCCCAATTCATGTCATACCAGAGACAGACATCCTGCTTGAATTATCTGTGTGTGTTTTTGTGTGTGTGCTTGTGTATGCTGGCTGACCCCAACAACACTGCTGCTGAGATCTTCCAGAACTAGGGTTTCAACATTCCAGGAACTTTTAATAAAATCCCTGGTTTTCCAGAAATCCTGGTTGGAAGATTCTGAATTTCCTGCTTATTCCCTCCTGATTCTGGGAATCCTCCAACCGGCATTTCTGGAAAACCAGGGAATTTATTGAAAGTTCCCCGGAATTTTGCAACTCTATCCAGAACACACTGCTGGGGTTTAGGGGAGTGCGTGAGGGGGGAATTAGTAACACAAACACACACAGACTCAGTGAAGCCATCAGTAACTCAGGGACCTTTCCCCCAGTTTCAGACCCAGAGAGGGAGAACAGATATCAGCTTACACAGCAGGAGTCAGGATGGACTCACACTGGTGTCTACTCACACTGTAAAGTGGTTGCCGTGAATTTGACAGTAACTTACAGGCAGCTCAGTGGCAAGTAAAATTCTGTATGTCATATTGCAGTACACCTACTGTTATATAAATACAGTATCAAAGCAAGTACTGTTTAATGACAAACAGTACAATACCATAAAATCGACTGTATTATACTATAAAAAAGTCAATGGTACCATAACTGAAATGAATGGATGAATTAATTAAATTCCTTGAGGGGATGGGTTTGTAATTACAAGGCATTGGTGCAAGCAGGTTGGCTGCTAGGTATAGTGTTTACACATTACAGCATATTAATGAATATTTGGTGTTTTATATTACTTGCATTTCTAGAGGCCTTAACAAAGCCTTCCAAACTGGCAGTGCAAAACAGACCAAAAGGACATGTCAAAATGCTCAAACATTTAAGGTTTAAAACTTGCTGCCACTCCAATCTGTCCCCTATACATTTTAAATTGTTAGGTTCTAAATAAACAGAGTAAAACTCATGGCCGAGTTTATTCACCCACTGGGTCAAACAGCTGCATAAGACAAAGACGTTTCACAAGTACATATATTTATACCCTCCACTGGGCGGAGTCAACTCCTTGAACATCTAGACAGCCAATACATCTCTGTTGCTAGACAGGAACTTAAGTGGTGCCTGTTCTTTCT